ATTGATTTTCAGTGCGCATTTTGGAAGGGATTACAGCCATCTGCAAGCTCTTGAGGAACAAAGGGGGCTCCTCGCTCTCCTCCCTTCAGTACTTCAGAGGGATAACATGGCCAGATAAACATGCTCTTGCACCGCTCTACACTTGCTCTCTATTTTGCTTTGACCTCTCAACCCACCCAAACTGCCCACTCAACTTTAATGCTGACCATGTTATTCTTTCCTACCCTCACCCTCATGCTCTGTGAATAGAGGTTACTCATCAGTTTTTACCAAATGCTCACCACCAGTATGAGTCAGTGCTTTATAAAAAATCTTTTAGCAAAACCATCAAAGTAGAGGCATGTAATGATGCTTATTGTGTGGTTACTGCTTGCACTTTCCTGGCCTGATATTAAGATTTAGGCCTACATATCAAGTTAGCATGTTCTCAGACGTGAACATTCACAGTTTCCATTTGGGAATCATCACTCCCAGCTGTGCAAGGGTGTTATGGGAACCAGAACTTGTCAGCTGGGAATCTGGGATGCCAAAGTGTGGTCATGGACTCACTGTCAGCTGGTGCTGAGCTGATGGAGAGGCAGCAGGATGCACAGCCACTGAGTCACAGGAAGAGGTGGACTGACCACTTGGTCTGATGTTTGGCTGAAGTGGGTTGGATTTCCAGTAAGGAAAAATTATTTGTTTATGTGGAAAATAAAGCCTGATGAAATCCACAGCTGTATTTTCATTATTATTAATCTAGCTTTGTAATCACACAGTATGGGCTAAGACCATGTGCACTATCATCATAAACAATGACAAACTTTGGGATATTGATGTGGATGCAAAAGTCTGTTTGAATGTGCAGAGGTATAATACAGTCATACAGCTATAATCTTGTGCTTGATTAAAAAACAAAATGGATGGATTGTTACTCATCTGGATGTGTTTAAAGGACAGTTGGAATGAAAATAGTCATGGTACTTACTGGACACTAAGGAACAAGAGTGAATCACTGGAAAAGTAAAGCAACAGAAGGGCAACAGAGATTCAGTCATTTAGAAACCTCAAGTATCTTTTGGCACAAGTGTATAAAGTGTGTGTCACAGCATTGCAACCACTGTTTTGGATCAACAACAGCATAGCACCCAGCAGCTGTGGGGCAAGCTGTGGGAAAGATTTGACGATGAACCCATGAAAAGGTTAGTCTCATTAGAGTGAGTGATTCGACTGTTTGAGGACAAACTGCCATGGATAAAATCTGGAAGAAAAACAAAGGATTTACAACATTAAAAGGCTTTGGACCGCAGCATTGCAGCTTCTATGAAGTGATGCAGGTAAAGTTTTTGCAATATCTGCAGACAGAAATTACATTTTAAACATCCTCAGTTGTATACCTGTGCAAACTCCATCCACCGAGGAATATCTTGTGACACGATTGAAAGCTACAGAACAATATTGGACCTTGTTGTGAGATTGTGTTAACTGCTGCTTAACACATTTGGAAAAGTCCAACGAATACATGTAGGTATGTCCAATATCAAACTAATGAAGTGCTTTGAGAAACTAGTTTTCCACCACATAAAGAATAGCATCCCTGCCTGACTGGACACCCGCCAGTATGCATTCAAAACCAACAGATCCACGTAGGATTCAATCTCCACTGCCCTCCACTCAACTTGAGAGTACCACAATCTGTAACTGGATACTGGACTTCCTCACAAATAGACGCCAGATAGTTCTGATTGGTGGTCACACCTCTTCCACTCTAGTGTTCAACCTGAGTCCCTCAGGGCTGTGTGCTCAGCCCCCTCCCGTTCACGCTGTATTATCATAACTGCATCCCCCATCATGGAGACAACTCTGTTGTAAAGTTTGAAGATGACACCACCATCATTGCCTGGATATGAGACAATGATGAGAGTTCATATCAGGAGGAAATCAACAATCTTGTACAGTGGTACACAGAAAACAACTTATGGCTCAATGTCAGCAAAACCAAGGAGCTGATTGTTGGTTTTAGGGAAAAAGAGGTAAAGACACACTCTAAGTTGCAGCAGGTGAACAATTTTAGGATCCAGGAAATCAACATCACAGAACATGGTTACGTCAAATCTCCACCCTGGTTAAGAAAGCACTCAAACTGTAGTTCTGTGCTTCCTTAATCAGGACTGTATATCTTAAGGAAACTTAAGAAAGCAAAATGCCTGTGCCAAGTTCTTGTTAACTTTTACAGAACAGCAATAGAAAGCATCCTGACTGGAAACTGACTGTGATTAAAACCACCCAGAAGATCATTGGTACTCAGCTGCCCAGCATCAGTGATACTGCTGAGGTGAGATGCCTGCACAGAGCCCAAAGGATACTAAAAGATGGCATCTACCCCAGCCACAGCTTTTTCACCCTGCTGCCATCTGGAAAGAGGTACAGAAGCTTCCACTGCCGTAACACTGGACTTAAAGACTGCTTCTTACCTCAGACTGTGAGACTGTTAAATTCTTTCTCAACAATTCATCATACAAAATAATATATATTTGTATTACTTTTTTTAAAGTAGCACAAAGGGAGCTATATCTGAATTTCATTCTACAACCTTGTGTTGTAAATTACAATAAAATAACCTTGAATCCTTTGATGAGCAAGTTCGATAGCTGTCGGTTTATTTGTGGGCCTTTATATAGCTGAATAACATGGAGAGTTTCTGCTGGAAACACAGGACCTGTGTGCTGGGTGGGGTGTTGTTGTGTTGAACTACAAGGGAGTGTCCAGGAGCACTTTGCCCCTGTCTGTGCTCTCATCTCTGGAGCTTTGTCTCCGGCCACTTTCCTCAAACTCCCCCAGGGGCTGACGGAAGTCCACACCCAACAGCTCTCTCCCATTGCTTTGGATTCCCCTTTCCTGACTGCTTCCCGCTTTGCAGTGTTCATACATCACCTTAGCCACACAACAGGACAGAATAAAGGGGGGGGATGCATGGGGGAGGAAGTATTACTGTGTGGCTGCAACACAAAAACAAATGAAAATCATTCAGCATGAAATTAGTGTGTGCAATTATCAGTGGTGTGCAATATAATCAGAAATAAGTTAACAGTTTCCATGTATCAATACGTCGTAAACAAAACATTCTGTAGAATTGTTTTTTAGATACCATTTTCCAAAGTTTTATTTAGATCATAAACTCTGTACACATTTAAACAGTCAATGCAATAACCAGCATCGGAATGTAATTAAGTACATTTAATCAAGTACAAATTCAAAATACTTGTACTTTACTTGAGTATTTCTATTTTATCCAACTCTATGCTTATTCTCCACTACATTTGTCTGACAGCTTTAGTAAGTAGTTACTTCTCAGATAAAAAATGTCATACCTTTCCTGTCCATGGAAAAACACATATCTCCAACTTTAGTGATTTAGAATTAGAATTTTTGGTTCTCACAGGGCGGCAATGCTACAAACATATAATATTTATAGACTCATAGAATATAATGAAAAAAATTAGATCAACCTTATCAACATCTACAGCAGTAAAAGACTGCAGCAGTAATAGTAATCCAATCCACAACATTCAAACACTGACAGGGACCATATAACTGTAATTTTACTTTTGATAATTTGATGATAATACTTACATACCTTTACTTAACGTTTTGAATGCAATACTTTTACTTTTACAGTGTGTTATTAGTACATTTACTTAAGCAAAGTATCTGAATACTTCTTCCACCACTGGTAATAGTTTTCATTTAGCAAGTGCAAAACTAAACTGAGCCACTGTGACACTGACGTTAATACTGCAGTTTTGGGGTTCAAACTGGGGTTGCAAAGAAGTGACAACAATGCAGGAAGTTGGGCTTTGTCAAAATGTCACATGATGTATTAGTTGAGGGAGTATAATTTGAGTACTCTTTGTTTTGGCTTATCAACCCTGCAGCAGTAACCTCAGATGGACTGGAAGGGAGGGGGCAGAAGAGTGTGTGTGTGTGTGCGCGCAGGACTGTGCAGCTCGGGGCCCCCAGTTACAGGATGTTTTAAAGGGGCACTGAGGCAGTAAATAGCTGGGGAGGCTGGAGGTTCACTCACATGAACTACTGATGCAGTGGCAAATGAGTGTCAGGGTTTCTATGGGAGATAGCTTCCCAGACATGGGAGGCATGTCAAGCTTTTGTGATTTTATTTCCATATAACCTAAACACCATGTTAATTCCCCAGCTGCTCTTTTTCAAACGGATTTACTATGTGCAGTAAATCTGAGATTTTAGTGAGGTGTGCACAGTATACTGTATGTTTATGCAGAATTTTGCAAGAAGGAGAAACAGGTGGTGAATTTATCATAGAGGCTCAGTGATATGGGTGTTTCTGTATTATCTACCATGCAGCTCCTCATCTGTTAGAGCAGAGAATGAACCGTGGTCAGCCACAACAGGTAACAGATATGCTATTGGCTCCAGGCTGAAGGCATATGTTTAAGTGGAGCGGAAAAGAGATTTGGTTTGATTGTCCTTGCATACACGTGGTCAGGATGAAGTGAGCGACTGTGTGGCACCTCGGCTCAGCTGAGTCTGCCACGCCACTCCCTTAATGGCAATTTATTGCTTCCTGAATCCTGAAAATGGGAGGTAGAGGACAACAGAATTCCAACCACTGTTTTCTACCTCCTTCCCCGTCCAAATGCCCTCAAGGTCCTACACACTCCCTAAATCTCTCTGCCTTTTAGGCCTCTCGCTCTCTCAGGCATGCCATTTGTTCGGAGCTTTCAGGGATCTGATTTATGGGTACTTGAAGTGACTTATGTCTGAGAAAAGTTTACAATGCTAGAAACCTTTGGACCCAAATACTATACGGTGGGTCTAACTGTATTGATGTGTTAGGTGACAGGGTTAGAGTGCTGATAAATTAATGATCCTGGTGCATTATGTTTGTGGAGCATGAAATCACCAAAGTATGAGTTCAAAGTGAATGTATGAGAAAGGCTTTAAGAAGAAAATAAATACATCCAAAAAACATCAAGAATGTTTTCTTGCAGTATATTTTAATAACACAGACAAACATAAAAATAATTCACAATACTGACACAATGTTGTTTTTTCCACAGACTTTTTTCATGCTGTTGTTTCTAGAATTTCTTATTAACATATTTACATTCACATTGATATTGACATGAATTTACATAAAGAATAACAAACAGCACAATGGCAGTGTACTCAGTTAAGACATACCGCTTCAGTACATCATGGTAATTTGGTATGAAACCCTCCCCCTTGTTGATGGGGTGCATGTGATATAGTGCACATCAGATATGAAATCACTGTACAGAACAGAATTTGATACATTAAATGCATATTATGTGTTTCCGTTGAGCTAGCCTTGTAATAGCTTGTTTTTTTTTCCACCAAAAGCTGGTTAGAGGATTTTATATCATATAATAACACTGGACTTCACTTCTGAATGGCTGTTGTCTTCATTTTAGGAATATTTCTCTATGTACAGGTGAATATCTTGTTTAACACATCATAAAATAGCTTCTTGGTTTTAGTTTCTCCTTATATGTGATAATATATGACACCTTCAGCAGAGAGCAGTGGGTGACTTGACAACAACAAAACTTATAACTGCTTTGGCAACACTGCTACAATTCCACCCTGACATCTTTTTAAAGTAGTTTTCTTTAAGGTCAAATACAGTCCAATTTGTTACATTTTGCAGAAATATTGTACGACTACTGAAATAACACATTTGTCTTATAATGCCTGCAATGCCAGAAGCTAAATCTCTCTGTTGGCTAGAGTGTGAAAGTGCTTTCAGCACTAGTTTGAGCTGTGAAGCCTGCTCTGGTAGCCTTAGCTTTGTGTTACTACTGTATGTGCTCACATTATCTGTACATATATTAAAATTCTCAAATCGCTCCACTATGCTACATATAGTTGCTTTTTATTTGGTTTTCAGTGCTTGCAGCATCACACTTTCCAGATCATTCCCTTTCCTTTATCAGTGCAAATATATATCTATATATTTTCTAACATTTTGTTTTGTGAGGACTTTTTTTTAATAATCTCCTTAATAATAGTAACACTGAGGATGACCCCAGTACAGGGGTAGCCAGCAAAACATCACTTTCCCATGGCCAGACATTTTCTGAACAAAAGGTGCCTAGAGGTACATCCTCGCTTGGATACCAACTAATAGACAGTAAGCTTTCTATAGAACTTTTCATCAATTTTCCTGAGTTTCTAAGCAATGACTCTCAATACGCCTGAATTAATGGCTTGACTTAATTTATCCCGAATGGAAAGCTTGAATTGATTTTCTCTGAACCTGCATAATGGCATCACTGTGTGTAAAAAAATGTCCAATGCCAAATGCTTATAATCTTCATTTCAACCACGTCCCTCATAACACAATTCCACCTGGTCCTTTCTGACCCGGTGACTGCATATTGCACTGAAATGGAGTTGGGAAAAGTCCATTTCACTCCTCAGTCCTTTGGGAAGACGATATCCGTTGGTGGATCGGCTACATTGGCCAACAGTTGTTCGCTGTGGCTTCTTCCGAAACATGGAACAGGGCTGAGTTTGGTTGGCTTTCAGTACGGCCTCGACTCTGAGTGGTAGACAAGCTGCTGCTGAGTGTTTAACTCAGTCTACAGGCAGTTCACAGGGTATCTGCTGGGCTGCTTTGGCTATTGTGTAAGCCCGCTGGAAGTCCTTGTAGCGAGGAGCACAGCCCAGCCAGGCCTCCCCAAAGTGGACCCGACCGGTGAAAAGAAAGCTGCCGGGCCCCGGTTTGACGCCACACTGCAGCAGAGTCCTGACCTCACCTCGGCTGGTCAGTCGACTGTTGCCGGTGAACAGGGCATACTTCTGACGGAACACCCGGGTGGCACTGACCTTGATCACCGCTGCTCGCAGGTTGTCATCTTCCACCACTGACCGGATGTTACCTCGCACGACTGTGGATAAACAGGACATTCAGGTTAATTTCTGTGGTTACTTTACAGTGCATAACTTTAATTCATGTCCTTTTGTTATCTTATAATGTTTTTGCTGTATATTATCCTACTTAAACTTAGAGGTGTGGTTCTTTGTGGCCTACCAACTGATGGTAAAAGCCATACGAAGGCCTAAGTCTGCTCACTAATCCTTCTAGCTTTTGCCGCCCACTGAACTTTTCCTCAGTGCCATAACAGCTCAATCAGAGGCCAGGAGATTAGTCCACTGCTCCTTCTCGAAGGGGGTTGAGTGATATTGTAGAGGGCAGACAGAATAGGTGAGGGTTGATATGTATGTGTGAGATGGGGAGAAAGCTGAGAGAGAGAGACCTAGGTTGATATGTCTCTGTGCTCTTTTGAGAGGAGAGGATTTAGAAGCACTGGGGTGCTCTGACTTTAAACCGATTCAACACAACGATTTGTAGATCCTGACAAGAAATCATTCCATTCTGCGGCTTTGCTGCTAGGACTTTGTGCCATTTGGTGGTCTGGTTTAATTTCTCAATCGTGGCTAAATTAGAGGGATGGGGGTGATTTCTGAGTGACATTAACATGTCATTCCTGTTTTTTTTTGGGTTCTTACATGTTATATCAGCAACTTGTATAGGGTAACTTACCAAAGTCACTGGTGCAAACGGCCATTAGAATCTCAGTGTTGTTGCAGGGTCTGCAGGCATCTGGAGAGACAACAGAGGGAGGAAAAAGAAAGAAAAGAAAGAGAGAGTCAGTTGGTGACCTTACATAACACGCTGCTAAACTCCTTGAAAACACCTATATGCTAATACTTGAACTGTGCCTCTGGAAATCAAAGACCGCATTTCCGGATCACATGCAGAGGAATGTGAGATGTGAATTCAGACTTAAAAACTCTGTGCAAAGATGAGCAACAAAGGAGAGACCAACCACTGCGTTCTAACAGACAGCTGCTACTTTTACAGTTGGCAGAGGAGAACCAGTGGAGCTTTAAGGTGCGAGGCTCTTCCACCACGGACGGTTTAAAGGCCAAATGAAACTTCCCCCTTTAAAGCCTTTCAGGGTGCCTGCAGTCACACCTCATCAAAGCCTGCTAGACAGGGGCCAAGGACAGGGAGCGGGGGTTGACTTCAAAGATTTTTTTTTTTTTTTAAAGGAGCATAATCCTACTTCCCTTTCTTTCTGCAAAGGCGTGACAACTTTTCTTAAAAAAAAAATAAAAAAAAAACTTACATAAATACTTAAATACAGTGCCCCTTACTTAAGGTTGTAACATGATTTGCAGATGGCTACAGTTTAAAAAAAAACAACCAACCAGCAAAGCTCTGTCCATGTGCACTGACTGAACAGTGGGTATGAAAAAAAAAAAATGTCCTGGCATTTTTTAAAGTTCTCCTTGTGGTTCTTTGGAGGCCCCCTGCCCACCCCACACATTCTCCTCCTTAGTGAAAACCTCTTGATAAATGAGATTCCTTCCTCTCTAGTCCACAGCAAACCCCCTTCCAAACCTAATCAGTGTGTGTGTGTGGGAGAGAGAGATGTGTGTGTGTGTG